CTGATAACGGATGAGTGTAGCGATTGGAGAGTGAGAGAGAAATAATTTTCTTAGCAATGCAATGACTGGACACTATTATCCAAGTGACATTATGTAAATAGGAGCTGTGAAGCAATTTCAGACTATGTTCACATGGGGCCGGTCAAGTTTGAGGACACCTTGGTTTTAGGACAGTTCCCAGTGTTCATACGGATCCATTCATGCTTCGAAGTGACCTGTCCTCAAAGTGGAACGACTTTTCAGCCGGCCTCAAACCTGAATACTTTGCCAGACTCAGATGAGGCGTCTATAGCTGATTTTTTTCTTGTATCATATCAAATCTACATATTGAGCCTTATTCAGAGAGTGGACTTTGTGAAGAAATTATCATGTTATTATGTAGGAGAAGTTTTTTGTAATAACAAATATTGGTTGCAGGCTTAGCTAGGACTGTAGGAGTACTAGGAACTATATGTTAGTTAATATGTGATTCTGTGCAAATAAACATAGCTGGGGTACAGAGGTGAGAAGACCATAATGCCATTACCTTACAGTTATTACAGGTGCTTCATAATGCCCTTACCTTACAGTTATTACAGGTGCTTCAAGGGTTGACCTTGGTGGACAAAGAGCTTTGATGCGAAAGCTGTATACACCTCTATGGGAGATATAATAATCACAACTTACATTTGATTGATTGATTATTATATAGACAAATATGAATGCTATTCTTGGTTCGCAGGTTACGTCACAGCGGCCAYCTTGGAGGAACTTTAACAAAGGATTTCTCATTAGTATCTATTGTTCATTCCTCCAACATGRCCGYCRGYCTYTTATCTTKTGAATCTCATGGGAATGGGTGAAAACGATCAATATTGAATCTATKAAATCTATATTTAAATTGAATGGATAACCACAAACTACAGAAGTCTGCAATACTGCTAAAATGTATGTTTAGTACCTTGATGCAGTTACCACTGGTTGTCCAAAGGAAGCTTGTCCTTTAGCATTGGTTTTGATTGGTGTTGGACTTGGATTCAGCTATGTTTGAAATGGTATCAGGTTTTACTTAAAATCTATAAACTTTATGATTGCATAGTACTAATTGACATAAATATCATTGTTTACATGTTGTTGGGTTGCAAAGAGTTGAAAACATCAATGAAAGCCAACACCAAAGGTAATTTTAAGTGATCAAAAATAACACTTAAAACTTAATAAAATAAAAATTAAATAAAATTTTGTATTATCACATAGAGAAGGTTTTTTTATTCAGTGCACCAGGTAATCTTATGTCAATGAGTCAGTATTTATACAGTACTCACAATACTTGTCTTGCCCCCTTCTGATCTTAGCTTTAATAATGCAACCTTTTGGAACCCAAAACATCTGACTTTGTTTGAGGTCTAATTCCGTAGTTTATCTGTCCTCTATAGCTTACAATACCTTAATCCCTTTGTCAGTTAACAAGACTATTTAAACATCACTTTATTTGGTGTCTATATTTAACAGACTATTATTTGTATTCTACTGCTTACAATACCTTAATCCCTTTGTCAGTTAACAAGACTAATCAAACATTACTTTATTTGGTGTCTATATTTAACAGACTATTATTTGTATTCTATAGCTTACAATACCTTAATCCCTTTGTCAGTTAACAAGACTATTTAAACATTACTTTATTTGGTGTCTATATTTAACAGACTATTATTTGTATTCTATAGCTTACAATACCTTAATCCCTTTGTCAGTTAACAGGACTATTTTAACATCACTTTATTTGGTGTCTATATTTAACAGACTATTATCTGCCCTCTATAGCTTACAATACCTTAATCCCTTTGTCAGTTAACAAGACTATTTAAACATTACTTTATTTGGTGTCTATATTTAAC